TTTTTTTATAAAAGTTAAATATTGTATATAAGTTGGCGAAAGATAAGTTGAACCGGCCAAAGTGCCTTTCAAAAAAAAGAAAAGTTTAATTGTAAAGAGAATATTTAACTTTTCGCTCAGCTCATGGTCCACCAACGACCTTAGGGACTTGAGCTCCAAACTTAAATTAAGACGCTAAAATTGTCATAATTAATCATGAGTTTAAATGTCACGAATGTATAATCAAATCCTAACTATATACATTATAGTAATTAACAACTCAAGTCTATGAAATCAATTAAAACTTGTCCGCGCAAGCTACCGCGGATGCCAACAGTTAGGACAGGTTGATTAATCTATCTCTAATTACATCGATCATTTTATGTATACCTACTACATTAATTTTAAAATATTATTGGAATTTGAGAGTGAACTCCATCAATACGCGCGTCTAGACTTTTGCAACGATTGGTTCGCAAGAAACTCACCGCAACCATGTTTTGAAAATGACAATCGATATCCATCCATTATTCGGCAGTGCCAACCCACATGCATGTGAAGACAATGCTTAATAGAATTATCCATGTCATCTCGCTGTTATAAATACACACAGGGTATCCAAAAGAATCCGCACTCATCAAGTTCTCAAAATCAAAGCATTTGTACGTAGCCAACACCCAGCAGTAGCAATGGTGAAGATCTTTAGCAAGACCGTCGAGAATAATGAGATTGAGAGAAAAGAAATTAAGCTTCCCAGATCAAGTTTTCAACAACTTCCAAATGGGGAGTTCTCGGTTAGAGATAATCGGAGTGATAGAATATGGAGGTGTCGCCGCAGCCAACGGTCCGGTCAGTGCTATCTCAATGTTATAGATGGGAATGATTTTGTGAGAGGCATAAACGCTGGTAGCAAGATCAGCCTTCACAACGAAGCTGATCCTTTCAACCCGGAAGCTACGCCGTACAAATTTGAAGTCGAAAATAATTGAGAAAGTGGTTGTTCATATTTTTATACATGCTTTTAAGTATTCTCTAGTTAAGTGTCTTTTTTAGAGTAAAAAATGTTTTTTTCATGGTTGCTTTACACTTAAAGATATTAATTTAGGATTGAATGAAAACAAAAATATTATCAATAATTAATATTTTTGTCAAATTTCATTCCAAATTAATATTTTTAAATATAGTACAAACTGAAAAACAGTATTATCTTTTTAGTATAATGTAAGATACTATTTATTAAATCTATAATAAACTCGATTGTTCTTTTTATAACTATGTAGAAAGATGCTGATTTTGTATCGTTTGTTGTCTAGAGTAATAGTGTTTCTGTAGGATATTATGCCATTTATATAAAGTATTAATAAAAGTTTAAACTCTTATATATATTGAGAATATAGTTTCAAATTTTTTACTAACTAAATGATTACTCCGCTTATTATATTTTAGTACGAGGTTTAAGAAGAATATATATTTACATCACAAGTGTTATCAAAGAGAGCAATAACCACCACATGAAAGATCCTAACTTTAAATTGAAAAGAAAAACACTAAAAACAAGTAAATTTGGGTTGTCGGCTGTTATCCCATCACCCACTTTTAGTAACATACATGTTCAGCCAAAATTTACCAAAAAAGAAAAAAAAAACATGTTCAGCCGGCATAGAACTTTCTAAATTCATATGTACTTTTATTTTTGTTTGGTTCAGTCAAACTTTTTATCTTATCGTGCACAACACAGCCGCGCATGACATTCGTATTATCTTGGATAAGGTGCGCGCGCCAAAATCCTTGGCCCTTGAGCTTGCGAAGTTGCAAGGAGAAAAAAAAAAAAAGAAAAAAGAAGAAATCTAACGAAACAATTAGAACAGAATTAAAATAATAATTAGTATATTTTTCAGTTGAATATACTTAATAATATTCATTAGTTCAATAATTAAAAAATTAATATTTTCAAATTTGAATTTAAGGTGAAAAGATTTTTAAAGTATAAATTTTAATAACTAAATCAATGAATGTTATTAGATATGTTAAATCGAAAAATATATCAATTATTTTTTATAAAATATACATTCATTAGTGAGTAGAATCTCTATAGAAGTAGGATAAGTTTTTTTCTTTTTTTTTTTGAATGGTCACATATCAGTTTATATATTTTTTAAAATTATTTTTCTAAGATCTTAAAGATACATTTCACATCATTTTTATTGTATTTAAATATATGTTAATTCTAAAATTTAAATCTTAAATTTAACTTAAAATATATTATCTTTGTTC